CCCTTTGAGAAAGTAATTTTGTGAAGACATTAAAATGTCTGGAATATTTTTCTGCACTAAATTTTCTTTGCATTCCAGTACAAGTCAGGCTTCGACTGTGAAGCAACCTCCCACGCCACCTTTCACAGGATGGAAGAACTTCCCTTTGGTAATATCCCTCCGACCTTGTCATATGGTGATATATACCAGTACATAATTGCTTCAGCCAGACTACAGCCTCTACACAAGTCAGTCCTATCAACACTAGTGATGATGATGAAGAGGATCAGGACAACACCTTTAGCACAGCAAAGCCCATGAAGAAGGAAAGAGCTTTTTTAAGAGTGGCCACATACAAAATATTCAAACTTGTTCTAATAATGATTATTATTATCTTAAATGTGAATGTCTTCCATCATACAGACTGGGTATGATGTACCATGCACATGTTACACTTGATAAGTATGCTGTAATTCAGGATGCATCATGTGATTGCATTGGTTCAGCCACTGGTCGTTGTAGCCACATTGCAGGATTGTTGTTTGCTTTAGAGGATTACACTGTTAACTTTGGTTATACTGCACCCTCATGTACTTCTTTGACTTGTTCCTGGAATAAACCCCGAAACAAAAAGAGAAACCCACAAGCTGCTCAAACTTTGCAGTACAGCAAAAAGCGAGCACCAAACCGTGTCATTGATCATGACCCACGTCCTGTTGTAGATCAATCAAATAAAGCTGATAGTAGTTTTGCGACTGCTTTCATTTCCACAGCACTAGCCCTGGACACAAAAACATCATGGCACAGCATCCTAGAAATAAATTACGATGATTATGAATTGTCTAATGACTTAAAACTTTATCTCATGGACAGGTGTGATGTTTTTATTGAAATGTGAAAGATATCATATCAGAATATGGAGTCGGCCCATGTGTGAAGTACCTGGTACTGAAGGTCAAGCAATTTCTGATCAGTGGCATAATGCCAGGTGGTACAGAGTGACAGCATCTATTTGTAAAGATTGTGCTACTGTATCCACAGGTCGAGGTAGATATCGTTTGTTATCATCACATGTTTGGGGTATTGATTGTGTTGATACAGCTGACATGAGGTATGGTTCATGTAATGAAAAAACTGCATTTGAAGACTATTCATTAAAACATATAGAAACATTTACTTGTCATGCAAGTGGTTTCTGGATAAATTCCAAGTATCCTGAACTAGGATGTAGCCCTGATGGCATATTGCAGTCTCTCAGTTCCGACGTAGCTTGTGGAGTTTTGGAAATTAAGTGTCCATCAGTGCTAGAAAACATTGCTCCAATTGAGGCAAAAGAAAAACTCACAAAGAAGCAATATTATTCATTTTGCAGCACTTTGGAAAATGGGAAACTCCAGTTGAAAAGAAATCATAAATATTATTTTCAATGTCAAATGCAAATGGCCATCTGTGAAAAGTCTTTTTGTGACTTTGTAATATGGTCCCCAAAGGGCATGTCAGTAGAAAGAATATTCTTCAATAAACTATTTTGGGAACAGACATACCACCGCTTGAAACTATTTTACAAATATATTCTGGTTCCTGAGATATTTGAAATGAGAGTGCCAAGAAAGCTACTTCCCTTTGATCTGTCAAAGTAAATGTTACAAACTGTTGTATCAATAAACAAATGTAAACAAATAACTAGACATGGTAGTTAATGGTAAATGTACTGTTTATTTACTTCAACAATACTTTGAAAATATGTACAGTCATATGCTGAGTACATGATGAATGATTCAGCCTCTTAAATACTGCATATCATCATGATTGTTAGTGCAATACTATTTTATACATGAATCTCTGGCTTGAATGCATAGAAATAATGCATAGAAATGCTGCTCAAATGTAACATTTTATGTTTTGGTATTATACTTTTTCAGTGAAGTATGGTAGAGATGATAGTAAGTTTGTAAGGTTGAGTCCAACCAATCGGTCTAAAGTACTAGAATCTGTACCACACTTTTAGTGAGAAAGTGTAATCTCAAATATAACATGTTCATATAAATAAATCACACCTGTTACCACTGTGTCACTATGCTATTTACATCCATGAAGGATCTTACTAATGATGTCATTCTGTGCTATAATTGCACAGGCTATTGTATTTCATGCCTCCAAGTGAAATAGTTATTCACTGTCGGGAATCATTATGTATTTTGTGTGATGACAACAATGTTTGTCAGGGACTATTTCTTGTGTACACTCCTGCATTGTGGCTAAAGTCTGTCTGACTTTGACCCAGATAAACAATGACCTATTACACAAGTAAATGACAATTTTCTGATAACTTTCTTGCTCAGAAGTGTTTTTAAAGTATATTACATGACTGATACTATTGAAAATTGAACTTCATTGCACTGAAGAACTAATTTGATCTGTTTGACATTTCTATGGTTATGGTGACCTGTCAACAACATTTAGGTAAGGCATGGTGACTGTAAATAACTGGATGTCTGTTTTCCTATTAAAGTCATATTCATTATCTGATATTTTCATGCATTGTTTTAAGACAGAGTACAATATATACCGGTATTCTACTGTTTTTCCCACCTGTGTACCTGCAATATGAAAGTAGTTCAAGGTTTTGACATTTGTTGCTGAGGCACTATTTGACAGTCTGCTGTCCATATCCTCGGTTTGCATTTGCCACATATTTTAGTAAATCTTGTATAGTCCAAATTATTAAAGGCCACATAGGACAACATCAATTCCTTGATACAGAGTATATTTACGCTACACTGGCCCCAAGTTATCAATGGTCTTAGCATACATTTGACATCTGTCAAATGCCGCCCCAGATGCTTGGTCTGAACATATGGTTGTGCTTATTGCTATATCAGATGTTAGATATAGAAACTGGTAGATATATGTAAAGAAACCAAACTACTCAAGATTGTGTGAAATGTGTTCCTGTAACTATGTGGAAAATGAGTACCACTTCTTACTGATTTGTACTGCTTATGATGATCTACGTAAACGTTTTATCCCTGTCAATGTTTTCACCCATTCAACCTTGTGTAGATTTAATCAACTGATGAGTAATGCTACTCCTCTGGTTTTAAGAAATCTTGCCTTGTTTATCTTCTATGCTAACAATCGTCGTCGCTACAGCTTGAAGGCTGCCAATGTATAACGTTGTACCATGGGCCCATGGCCTACATTCACATGAATAAAGACTAGACTAGTTACATCAGATGTTAGCACAAATCTCATTTGTCCAATCTTTTCAGACACTTTGTATCACATAAGGACAATACCAATTGATAAAAGGAAACTGATTCTTTTGTAAGTTTCACTTGTCATAGAGCTAACCACCAACTAAGATGGCGGCCACTGATGCTACGATGGCGTGAAGATATTGTCCATTTAATTATAACAAATTCTCTTGATATCCTGATCATTTCTACTGTGTCCTAATTGTATTCTGACAAACAGGACAGCATAAGGATAATTAGTAGTCACTTGTGTTAGAAATGAAATTACCTATGCATTGTTTCTGGTATGAAAGCCATCAAACCTGTATTCTGATTGGCTAAGAAAGGTCACATGACCTGTTAATGATGCCCATAAATATGATCACTGGTCAAGGTGTTTGACAATCAACTATTACATCACATTCAATTTATTACTCTTACTTTATCCGTTCCTGATATTACTTTTACCTGGCACATCAACCACTCTAATATTTATCATCATAACTGCCACTAGGTACCCCCCGGTATATATTTTTAACTCAAGTTGAGAATCACTTTCTTGGTAACATATTATGCACAGTATCACTTGCGGAAGAGATTAAGTTGAAATAACTATTTCCTTTGAGACTGAGTCTTGTCATTAAATCTATCCATAGGCCTAGTAGTGTTTGATCAGTACTGGGGATATTTATTGGCATCATTTATTTTATCACATTGTTAATAAGTTGCATCTACAATTGTTGCCATTAAAGCAATATTAAACATAAAGTTTGCATGTATCATTGCAAACCTTTCTTTCCCTACTTCGTCATCTCCCTTGTTATTTGTTTTCATACATGCACCCCAAGGGTGTTACAATATTCACCCAACCTTCCCACTGAATCAGTGATCTGAATATAACTTTTAAGGTACATGTTTCCTTGCTTACCATAAGTACTTTCATTGTTCTGCAAACACTTCAAAACAGTCAATCTTTTTCTGATGATGTGCCATGAAGGAAAAATGTGATATTTAAAAGTAATAAACTTTGTGCATGCAAACAGTAATTGTATAGTGATTCATATATTATTCTGAAATGTATTCACATGAGTGAGGAATATCAACACCTAATAACTACTTACATGTTTAAACTGAGAAGACAAGAGTTTATCATCACAGATAATGTACAATCAATAATATGAGGAGGATAATGTCTTCCTTACTTAACAAGCGGTGGCTGGTAGTTTGAAAGCATTCCTATAACAAACACTATCTGGGATGCTAAGTGTTTCATTGAAAGAGGAATAACAGCGCTTAATATTCGATATTCCCTCAACCTTCCCACAGATCTCTCCACATGTATTCTTGTCCTAGCAATAGATCCAGTCAAGATGTCTTCTTTAGGAGTCAGCTTGTCCCTTTGCCTAGGAATGGGGAATATTCAAATGTGCTCTACAGCTCATGAGGAGATCTTTGATAGTGAAGCCTCTATCAGCTAAAAAACCAAATCATTTTTTGCAGAAAGCCTGATTTTTTTTGCAGATAAACCTGATTTCCTGATACAATATCAGCCCCAGTTGGAGAAATACCGAGTAAAACCTTTAAGGTGTTGTGAGTCTTGTACTGAGAGTACATGTTACCTTGCTCACCATAATCACTTGGTCTTTCTGTAAACACTTCAAAACAATCAACAATGACTCGGATGTTTTGAAACTTTTAAAATAGATGGCAATGTTTTCCTGATAATGTGCCTTGAAGGAAAGATGTGATCTTTTAAAGTAATTAACTTCATATACAGAAACTGAATCAAGTGGTAATGATACAGGACACAGAACCAACACTGATGTTATATCTATAGGATAAATCTTTTGTGGGCAAATTTCTCCTTAATCTTACAAGCGTCAAAACAAGTTGGTCTTTTACTGTCAAAACCCTGCATTTACCAGATTTATTGGAATTCATCTTATTTCCACGCCAGTAGCAAATTTCATTTACACTGTCACCAAGAGAAGAAAAGAGATGATTGAAGTGAACAGTTTTCATACCAGTGTAGTACTTAAATTTCTTCTTATTGCACACTAGATTATCAAAAAGTAAATCACAGGTTTTGTTGTCTAGATTTCTGCTAATTCCACAATCTGAATCAGGGACTTGCGCTGTCATCTTTTCATAAATCTTAGATACCAAGATGCTTGAACATACAAACTCGGCCTGGCTGGACATGTCTTGAGTTGATGGCGTAGCTTGGCAGGCAGCATCACTGGAACTGTGCTCAGTCAAGGCAGTCTCTTCAATGTCACAGACATTCTGTTCCAATACATACAAAATTATGTTGAACGAAAAATGTTTGATCAGTTACATATTTAGACAAGGTGTACATTTGGTAGTATTGTAGAGGCAATGGGTGATTAATAACATTAAGGGCATGGTCCTAGTAACTCTTGTGCCTCACGGTTATACTCAAAAGATATATTAAATGTGTTTAGTGTTACAAAGTTACATACTTTCATTATTAGTAGCTTGAATTCTTAAATTGCACATTGTAAGATTAATTTGAACAAAATATAGATCTAACGGTTTGATGCATGATTGCAAAACACTTAATATCAGATAAAAGACTTAAACACAACTTTACATCTATGACACATTTATGACCATACCAATTCAGTACAGATTGTCTCCTGATCCTCTGGATGCTTTCTTGAGGTGTAAGGGTGGTCAGCTGCACATACTGCCAACAAGGATAGGCCATCATCACCTGCTGTCGAAGTTGGGTCCAACCTGGATACCTTGGATGGAAGAGGGCGTCTCTCCACTGGGTTCTTCCTCTTCTTGGAAAAATGCACCACCTGGAATTTTTTCAATATGGACTGCATAAATCTGCCACTATATGTTTGAACATATCATTTTTACAAAAAAGATAACATCAATGACATTTTTTATTGAATTTAAAATTTGTCATAATTCATACATACATCAGGTGTCAAATCTAAATGCTCACCACATGTGTTACATTGGTTTGACCTTTATGCGTATATGTAGTATGACACTGGCTTGTAGACAATGGTTTTGACGTTATATTTGAACACAAACATAAAAATCATGACACTTACCTGATCAGATGTATATGTTGCCGGGATAGGGTCGGGATGTTCAAACGATGGACCATTCCCACCAACGAAGTGTTTGGAACATAGGTAGGTGTATTTGTTGACCTTGTCTGTTGTGAATCCATCTCGCGAACAAGCGCGAACAGGTTCGGTACAACCCCCGAACGGGTACTGAGCCCGTTCGGGAACTAACTACCCGATCGGGATAATAAACCAGTCCAAAAACGCATAAAACCGCAAATTACACTCGCCCAGCCTCAGTACACAACGGCGCACAATGGTGAGTGTTCACAGTAATCGACGAAGGCCCCCACCACTGCACAGTAACACACGTGGGTCGAAATGACGCCGCATTTGGGGCGCCACCCCACAAAGCAGAGGACCCCGTTCACAACGAAGACACAAAATGCCCTCAAAATAAGTAAATGAAATCATGTAATGACACAATGTTAGCAAAATAGACTGTTCACTCACCACGTTTTCAATGTTGGTGCCAAAAGGAAGTCGCAAGCGCCCTCTAGTTGTCCGCGGGAGGGGAAACAACTCCACCACCGGTTCGTCTGCTGGAAATGATGGAAGCTCAGTGAAGACACAAATCGTGTTTGTGAGCTACGTCAATGAAAGGGCAACGAAGGCGTAATCGTACGTGACGTGTGCAATGTGTACAGATTGAGATGATCATGTTGCATGTAGTGAAATGGAAAGGGTGATGCCAAGTAATGAAATAATTAATACAACATAGATACTGGGACGCTGAACACAACATGTATAACGTAAGCATCAGAGATAACAAAACCCCAAATACCCCGGCAATGATGAAAGGCTGACAAAATTAACAATAGTAATGATAATGATGCAATAAGTCATGGAAAATTTAACCATAGGAGCAAAACCAAAGCAACGTGGAGAAAGGCTGAGGAGAAGAACGGGTCCCCAGAAGAGGGACCAATCACCACACGGGACCCGTTCGGATGGACTATATCGTGGATCCTGACAGCCGTGCCAAAAGCTTTACAAGCGAAGGAAGACCCTCCTAGAAAAGGTATGTAATTGTTGAAACATGAAATAGTTACTGAAACATGAAATAGTTACTCACCACTGTCATCGTCATCCACCATAGCTTTGAGTTCGGCCAAAACGCTACCATCTCTGGCTTCGTCTTGGATTTAAGAGATTTGTGGGCCTCTGTCACCTCTGCATTAGGCTGCATGCAATACAAACAAATACCGTACTGTTGGTTCACATGATGGAAAATGAACACTCGAAATAACACGTCATGACATACTGTGCGATTATGCCTATGACACAACAACACACTTAAAAATAAGATGCAAGGAAACATCGTAAATCACAATGAAAACAGACATAGGATTGATGGAAGAAGGCACAGTCATATTAAATACGTCACAACTTGAGTCTGAATAACGAAACAATGTGCATATACATCATGAAGAAGTGTGAAACATGCATCATCGACATCAATATCGGTCTCAGATGATGCACATGAACAAATGGACCCAAAAATTGTATCACCTGCCCAATAGGCTGTAAAAAATGACACATTACGATTGTTGGCGTGTACGGAACAATACGATCCGTCCGTTGTGTGGATAACGCTTGAACAGAACAATTGAAACGGGAAACCACAGCTTTATAAACCATTAATGAATGTAAAGACACCATGCTGCGTACATAAACAGCATCCAGTAAAACATGTCTACAAATGATGCCTCCATTCACCTCCATAGATGTCACAATGCCATCAATCGCCGCCGCCAACTGCGCCCTGCTCATGTTAATGGGCTTTTCGGATTCCTCCCACTCAGCTGCGGTGATAATCACCCTGGGCAGTGCCAAAATGGTCCCACCACTATGTCTCTGTTCACTGCAATAAATATAATGTACAGTACACCACTGTGAACAATGATATATATCATCCACCACAAATAACGGTACTGTATGCAACACACTTTACATGTACAACCGCCTGTTCTCATAACACTGGTGTCGACATGTTACCAAATGGAGATCCAACAAGTCCCCAGGATGGAACCCGCTGTGAGGTTGGATCTCCATTGGTTGTTTGAAGTGTCCAACACGTCTAAGCCAACGACGCCATCCCAGAATTTCACACTGTAATGAATCTTCATTAACAGTGGAAAACTGGTAGGCGTCGTGGTCGGTCCCCAGTACGGTCTCGAGCATCTGCAATACATGTAACATGATTAGTCATACGTCCTAGGCCACCAAGTAATCAGTCACATGCGTATGATGAATGTGTTGCAGGCTAAAGAGATACATATCATCACCGGGGCACGGATAGCTATCACAATTTGAGCCTGAGATGGGTGGGGAGGCCCAATCCTTTATTTCACACCTAGATGATCAGGTGGGTTTTACATGAATATTGATATGTTTAACATATGCATGATACATGAATGACATGAAATTGTGATTGTGAATGAATTGCTACATAATACACATGTAAGTTCACCTATCCACAGTCCTGTCACCCGTGGGTTGCACAACAAACTGATGGCTGGTGAGGTAAGTAACCAAAAATGATTAACACACAGATCCTCCCCTACTGATGATTCATAAATGCACTCGGTATAACTACATCCGTCATTATGTTAAGCAGGAAACTATAAAATGTAACAAAACTATTTGTCACATAATGATAACCATCGTCAAATACGCACTACATTCAGCACCCCAATGATACATGAAAATAAATTGCCATCACCAATAATGTACTACAACTCATGCTCCATACATTGGAATATTGGCACATGTAAAAGAAATGGATTCAAAGCATAACTGCGTACATCGACAACTGTCGCACGCGGTGTTGTGGATGTATAACGATTTGGTTTTCAATAAACACATTCATAGAGGATAACCATAAAAAGTGCTGGAAGGGACATAACTCTATGGGATTCGCTCTCATAAAGAATCGTCTGCTATGCCACTCTACATCAGTCATAATGATCGGTAGTATGACGGGAGGTGAATGTACTGAGACACTGATTGAAAATGCATACCCATCACATTGGATATCAATGGTTTAGCAGCACCCTCGTTTGACGAATCGTTATCATTATGGACATATATGTATTATATATGATGTAGTGATGTTACAGTTGGATTTGTTATACCTTCAGATATCACACACGGATGCAGCCCCTGTCAGGAGGTTAGTAATCCCTGAGCCAAGCCACATCATACATAGCGATTCTAAAGGAACGCAAACTGACATTGACACTGATAATAAAAGAAAAGTGCTACAATCACCCATTAAGAAACAAAGACAAAGAAATCTAAAAGCGATGTAACTTTGTGTCCATTATGTGGTGTTCAGTATGGGAGTGCGAATGATGTGCGATTGATTGAATGGGTGGGGTGTGAGTATGGAAGTGGTGTGAATGCATGTTCATATTGGGCACATTGTTCATGTATGGGTGTGCACATATCATCTAAACGTCATTTACAGCCTCTACCATTCTTTAAACATTTCAGTATATTTAAAGTTGTTTTTCTTATTGTACATACGTGCAGATACTAATGACATTATACCTTTTCAAGCTTATCCAGGTTCCTGCAACTCCTCCTCCACGAATGTTCTGTTGGGACACCTGGTGGCATCCACATTTTCACCCGACGGTTACTGGCTTCGAGGATGAAATCTGCACCCTCCCCTCTACTGACATGTCCCGACGCACTGATGACTTCTGGTTGCATGAATGAAAACATGAATATCCTGATGAGCTGAGTGTCGGAGGATGTCATCCTTCAAAATTATGTCCTGGTATGTTGTGCAGTTTAAGCCATAAAATATAGTGGATGCCACAGACCGCGAGGCCAACATGTACCGAGCAGAGTTGCGTCTAACAGAGGAGCGGTATGTAAAGATCGGGAAGATGAAGGTTCGGAGAACATCCCATACAAACAGCAGTTTTGGGTTCTTCACTTCAGACATCCATCTCCTGAGATGTTGAGCACTTGGTGGGCTATGGCTGCTCAAACATGCACGAACATATGGCAGAAGGAGATCATCAAGTGTTCCATACATGTATATGATGATGAACATCCGTGATTTATGGTGATTTGCTGCTGATTGGGCATATGAAAGGGCATGTGGTGTTCTGAACCCGCACAGAAGGGCAATGTGCTTGATGTATGGTATCCATAGTAGTTTGAAGATAGCTTTCGTTAAATTCAGTTCAATATGTCCCGGGCCAGGGATCAGGAGGAAATGTTTGAACATGAGATGTTGTTTCATGTCTGCATCTGTTAGATAACTGTTATGCATCTGTTGCAAGTGTTTAGCAAACGCAGCTGACCCAGTGTGTATTTCGGACTGGCATCGTGGACAGATGAACCAGTTACTTAACATCTTGGACAACAGACTGTAAGGTGATCCATCACACACGAGGCCTATCCATTGACGTACTGTCCCCAGTGCTGTCGTTTCCTGAAGGGTGGTGAGGATTGTTCGTAAACTATCATAGCTGTTTGGATTGCACATGATAGGATCTCCAAGGGACATTTGAGGTGGTGGTTGAGGGTGATTATGAGGTAGAAAACTGTATGGATCAGCAGATGTTTTAGTTGATTGCGGTAGCACAAATTGGTTGTCAGAATCTAAGTTATCCATATAGGTGCCTTCCGCTGTCTGTATCTGTTGTTTAACTAAGGTGTGTAGTCGTGACTCAACAAAATCATCGAACAGATGATTGATCATGTTGTCTGCTTCCATGTAATCTTTCAACAATGCATGGTATGACGGCCATGATGAGTATGACAGCCATAGGTAGGGTGACAAATCAGGATTGGTTTGTATGTTAGTGGCAGGATTTGAAATGTACATCACATTGGTTATGACACTCTGCTTTGTCTTATAATTGATCGTGATTCGCCAGTTCCTCTGTATTACTTGGTTGTTATCAAAGACAACCACTATATCTGTATTTTGAGGGCACTCGTTGGGGATGAGGGTACCAACTTCCAGCCAGTTTCTGATGCTGCTATATGACCCACCAGGTGTCATTGCATGTATGAGGTTAGTTTTGTCTTACTCCCACTGGCGAAATAGCACAGAATGTTCAGTAGGAAGGCTACAGGTGTGATCATACTTGATGTACTGATACTGCATAGATTTTCGATACTGCGCACAAACAGTAGTTTGTTTTCTGGGATAGATGGTGTACGTCATTACCAAGTAGTGCAGAAAACAGTGTAATGAGTTTGGCTGACAATTTGGACAATATGTTGGTGGCAAGATCACCCTCATACGTCTCTGTCTGTCTATATAGTCCAGAAATGGCCTTTGTGTGTTCACTCAAATCCTGGCTGAGTGATGATCCTACTGCAGTTAGGATTTTTGTGATGTCATTGTCACTATATATGTTGTCTGCAAGACCTTGCAACACAATTGCTAATGCATCCACATGATGCTGGTCGGTAGGTCTTTGCCAATTAATTCGCGTTCCGTATATTCTGCACAGGCCGTACATAAGTATGTTGATTTTGGCTTCAACCATCCATTGTCTGACAGCGTTTCTATTACAACTTTGCGGTATTTTCTGGATTTAATCTGGTAAATGTGGTAATTGTCATCACTCACAAAATCATCGTGTTTGGAACATCTACATCTCTTCGTTGGTCGCATTTTGTTACCTGCAATGTGAAGAATGTGACAATGTGAATTCATATTTTTTGGGTGGGGATGCTGTATCATTTCCTTTTTTGTGTGTCCAACCACACCCCCACCCATCCGTATCTGTTTATGTACATCGTCCCTTGCACCCATGTCTGGGGAGGTCGGGGGTTTTCGAAGTGTGTGTATACCCCACATCTCCCACTCCATTTTGTCCATAGTCCCTTCCACCCTTGGCCGGGGTTCGGTGTCTGTTCATAACCCCCCTCTATTTCTGTACATAGTCCCTTACACACATGCCTTGGGGAGGGGCAGATGGTCGCTTGTGATGACAACCCCCAAACCCCACCTCCCACCCATATTTATGTACATAGTCCTTTCCACCCACCCCAACAGCACGCCACCCTCAACCACCACCAAGTTCTTGTTTCACCTGTACGTCTTTTACCCACTTGCATTGGTTAACTCTCCAGTGATGTGTACACTGACTTGTTACATGTCTGGATTCATTAAACATTTTTCATTTCGTCTCCTTGTTTTGTTTTGTCTATCTGACTACTGTGTTCAGCTGATGTGCGACATCAGTTTTGTCTTTACTGCGCTGCCATACTTTTTGCCTGGTCCGCCGGTCCTGTTTGGCTTATCGCCCTTCACAGGTAACCAGAGGGCGCTTGGTGTTCACTTCCGGACCAGACATGTAGCGTGGTGAGTGATGTTTGCATTTTCAAAACATTACATCATGTTGTTGTTTACTTGACTCTTTTGCGCCTGTCATGTGTCTTAGTTCTGACAGGGGCCTATGGTTAGGGGTTTAGCGCCCCAAATGCGGCATCGTTTGGTCACACGTGTGCCACCGTCGCCTCGTTAGCGGTTTCTTTGACAAATATAACAACTCGCCAGATTGCGCCGTTGTGTACTGAGGCTGGGCGAGTGTAATTTGCGGTTTTATGCGTTTTTGGACGGGTTTATTATCCCGATCGGGGTGTTAGTTCCCGAACGGGTTCAAAGTACCCGTTCAAGTACCCGTTCGGGGGTTGTACCGAGCCTGTACAAGATGGAGCCGGGTCAGCGTTAGCGCTGGAATTTCGAAGTGGAAACGTCCGGAGTGCTGGCATTGGTGTATTTTGGAAGATCATTATCTAGAAACAAGTATCATTAACTTATTCTTTGGCTGAATAATAATCTTTAAACTTGGAATATTGTACCAAATTAAATACTCGAATGCTTGAAATTTGCGGAGCAGTTCATTTTGTGAATAAACATCATTGAAGGATATTATTTTATGGCTCTTCAATCACTTTACTGTTAACATGGGGAAACGCTAGAACGGGTGGAATTTTTTTCAGAGCATTTTCATTACTACAGTTGCAAAGTATGAGTTTCGAGAAGAAAGTCCATATTTTTTGGGGTGGAGGAAAGCAGTATTTAAGCTGATTCGAGACACGAAAATCGTCGTCACACCCCACAAAATGTAAACGATGACACGCACCCCATTTCAACAGCAATATTTGCGTTAATATTTCGTGTCAGCTCGCTTTGGACACGAAATCCTGTTCATAAGACATCGAAGAGAACGACCACAGCCATAAAACATCGATAGAATCTTTAGTTTAGAAAATTTCAGCACGCTAATGTCGCCGTTTGTGCCCAATGTACGCGTTGTATCAGATAGGTTTTGATACGTAGGCCCAGCCATGTGCAGCTGTACAAAGAACTTGACAGCAGTACTGATCAATATGTTTTGTCAGTGTTTTCACAGTTTGCAAACCCGACAAAGAAAACCGGACACCATCGTTTATAGCAGCACCACCAGGCCTTTCTGACCATGGCTATATGAAGAAAAGGCCTCGGGGTCTCAACAGGTCATACACCTTATTCTAAAAGTAAGATGAAGGTAAGTAATATTAATTAGCTAATGTCAGTGAATTTATCGTGATTAAAATAGCTTATGAACATCTTATGGTGAAGAAAGTGCATATTTCGTCAGCTGATAAAACAGTAATTTATTTACATTTAATTAATTTCAGCATTTCTTGTGCATGAATACTCGCATCATGCTCGGTGCATATCTTTGCAGAAACCCCAGGCAGAGCACGGCCTCACCACCAAGTCAAAATGGAGCGATGAAGAAATGAATGTCCTTCAGAAGCAAGCTGAACAAACGTCAGACCTTTCCACATCATTTTGGCAGAAGTGTGCCACGCTTCTAAATTCAAATTTGGGACAAACAGGACAAGTGAGTTCTTGCATTGTATTTTTGAATTTATTATAATTACAACTTAAAGTTACAGGTTCAAATTGCGTGTGCTTTGTCAACAGTTGTGGTAGTAAAATCACATGTTATTATGATGTTTATTCATGATACTGCTATTGGTAAGCAAATCAATTTGAATGAGTTTTAGAAGATACAATCATCAGTGCTTTCCATGATGACAGTAACAGTTTATTCTTTACCCTTCCAGGTATGTCATGTCGTCTTCGATATCGGCGTTTAACTGCCAGTCAAGAAGAGTCAGATGTCAACACATGGGGTCTTGGTTGCAGCCCCCTAGTAACGACCCGAAGCGTAGAGTGCCAGACTGAGCCAGTCATCCCAGTTGTCCTCCTTGACAGGTTAAAGTTTCTTCCATTTTCTTATCACTCGAACTTCATTACACAGTTATGAACACTTGGTATTTCAACATATGAAACTGCAATCACACACATAGATCTTGTAGAAGTAGAATAATGTAAAAATATTTCTTATGAGTCCATTGTGTACATACCACGCAAAAGATGTTAAAGAACACCATCTTGGGATGGATTAACTATAGTCATGTCAAAGCATACAATGTTCTTTAACTGCTTTTGATTAATATGGTTGCAAATATTGTCAATACCTAAATTTTATCATATTTTGAATACCCTAACTGTGAGTGAGTTTATGTAAGTCAGATTTTGTTGTGTCTTTACAGAGCTCACATTGACATTTCTACTGAGGACACTCCGACTAAAGTCAAAGAGGACAAGTTTTTGGATGTATCATCACCTGCCAAATTACTTGAAGAAAAGGCCGGGCAGATATTTTCAAGAGGGAAGGATGCCGAAATTGACGAGGCTTTTAAGGAGGAATTTCTGTGCCTAGTGTACAGCCAACAGTCAATCAGTTGTCTGGCTAAACATGTGTTCAGTTATGATAAACTGAAGAAAGCAATTTGGACTTTGTTTCTTGATGAAATGACAGAAAGCTCAAAGGGCAGCTTGTGAGAGAAGAAGTAGTGTCTTGTTTCACAAGGACTATGAAGCACTTGCTGCATGTAACTGGTCAGCAATCATAGAGGAAATAGTTAACTCCCATGAATTACTGGGTGATGTGCTTTTGGCCTACACCGTCACAAAAAGAAAAACTATGTTCAAAGCTACACATGGAGTCTATGGTTAAAATCCTCGGATTTGTGTATGGGTCCATGATGAAAGCAAGATGGAAAGACCTGTCTCTTGTGCAGAGAGTGGTATCCATGGTCATGAAGGAGCAAAAGGTCCATCAAAGGTGTCTGTTAAAATACATTTTGTTCACCTGTTCAAGATTAAGTTTTGTTCTGTTGAAACCACTATGGAATGACAGATCCAAGTTTCAAGTGATGAGTGAGCCAGTCATCCATATTACCTTTCAGGAGTACAAAAGTACAAATATTTCTATGATAATGCTACTCATCCATTCCTTACTGATTGGGTCTACTTTGACTTGATGCTGTGTCTGTCATCTGTTTGCAAGTGTTTATGTTCTGCATGTGATTTCAACCAGACATATTACTTTGTTGTTTTACGGAAACTTTCAACTGAATTGTCCTTCATTTGTAAAAATCTAATGAAATGAAATATGTACTGTTGAATAATTTTCTGTTTAAGTACACTAGTATCAATGTTCTTAAGATCACATCTTTTATCTAGCAATCAAGAATAAGATAATTTCCATGGAACGAGAAAGTGATTTAGTCTGGCATTGATATTATTTACAAATAAACTGCTGAAGGTAATGAATTTGTCACATTATTTTTAAGCATATATCAAACAACAGGAAGATCATGATTTAAAAACATCATATCAGCATTGCTGACAGAGATGATGTAATATTTGAAGATGAAAGCTGGATACTTTATACAATTATATTGTGAACCATGTATATATATTGTGAATAACGGTGACCACTGTAAGATATTACTCACATATTGGACTATAAGGCCTGTAGTGTTGTGGCATGATGCCATTATCGGAGCATACACACTGATATCATGTACAACATGAGGGATACCATCCTGGGGATGCTGAAAAGATCTGATACACAGTAATGCTTTTATTATAGCACTACATGTACATCCATACATACACACGGTGACACCAACCGCCTCCATGGTGTAGTGGTTAGAGCGTCCGCCCGGAGAGCGGAAGGTAGCGGGCCCGATCCCCGACATACCCAAAGACGTTAAAATATGGTACTTGTTGGTCCCTGCCTGGTGCTCGGCATTAATGGGTACAACAAGGACTGGTGGGCTCGGAGTCAGTATAATGTGTTTGAGTGGGGTATTCATGCTTCACTGCGGCATGGTATCTCATTGGGCTAGCACTATAAAACCAGCTTAGGGTCTGGGCTAGTATACAAATATACACATTCACATACACTGCATGCATGTCGGCATATGAGCAGGAAATATTCTCAAGCACGACTTTAAACCCAATTTCACCTCACTTCACACAGTGACACCATTAGTGATTTTACTTTGACTTGGAGAACCTTCACTGGATTTGTTGTTGACTAACAGTTTAATGTTCGTACTCACAACTTCCAAAATATCTTTAGGTGAATGCAGTAATTATTGTTCTTGTTTTTATTCAGGGCATGATGTTCACAAGGTTTGAATGTTTCTAGATTGTTCAGTTTTCTGTATGCCCAACAGAAATGGAATTTTCTCAGATGTCTGTCTGCTGGAAACACTATAGAGGTATTGTAAAGGTGACAAGATACATTTTACATGTATTAATATCAAATTTGATTGAATTTAAGGATTACTTCTTATTTTGCATGTGTTTCTTTTGTCAGAATGCGTTATTTGAATTTCTATATCTAAACATTGCCTTCGAGTTGATATGTTCTTCAAAATAACTCATATAAAACAAATAATAAAATGTTAAGTAACTTTATTAAGTGATACAATTCATTAACAAAAATTATCATGACATAACCTTGCTTAATTATAAAGTCTCATATAAGTAACAAGTTGGAATATTTTCCGTGCCCATCATTCCCCATATTATTCATTTATGGCAACAGGAAGATTGAAGCAAAAGTGAATTTTATTAAAAGTTTGTTCGTTTTTTTCACAACACAGGTCTTTGATAAACTACAGCCCTTGGGGGAGTGTGTCTTTCACACATGGTTTCCTCAGGTGTCCAGGACATGATCAGTGGACACTTTCAGGACAAGCTGGTCAAGTGTATCAAAGAAGGAAAAGATTCAGACTTGTGGGGGATAATGTAAACTTTATGGTGGAAGTAAGTCATCTCCGGAAATCTGGTGAAAAAAACAAGCATGGCACACTGGTTTGGGTCTGCGACAAACATCCAGGAGATTAGTTTCAATTCCCTTCCATCTGGTGCAGCACAACATGTCCTGTTCAATATGTCTGCAGAAGATTTTCTTCTTAACAAGCAGGACTGGGTAGAGATAAGAGATGACTACCTTACTCTAATACTGAGGGTTCTTACTACACATGTCCCAGCATTCAAATCTCTCAAGCAGATTGCCCCGACATTATTGTTGGTGAAGAAGCTGACTGCCTCAAAACAAAGCATACTGTTATTCCTCTTCCTGTGCTTCCAAAGAATGAAGAAACTTACTCTGATGTAGTTGATGTTCTTGATCACTGTGAGTCCTTGATCTCTCAGAAATGTATGGAAAAGCTGGAATTGATCTTGGTGAAAACTGTAGCATCCACATTGGAGGTGACCAGCTGACCCGTGAAAGATTCTCTGGAGCTAAAAAGACTGAGGGCTTCAACTGACAATGATGCTGATCCAGTGAACAAATTTCCACATTTGTCTCCTATAACTTTGAACTGTTTCATTTTGCAGATGACAGTCCTTGCGATGATGTATAAGGTCTTGTACAATGAAAAGAGTACTGAAACAGGTACACTTGGAGCTGAAAAGATCAGACTGGGACGTAAATGAGCATGTGATGCAAAAAAAACACTATATGGATTGCAGTGAACTGGCTGTTTCACTAACAGATGCATACATTGTAGAAGCTGCCTGTGACTACTTTGGTATGGATTCAGCGCAAGATAAACCAACAAAGCATCTTGATGGTGAACTGAGTTTGATGTCCGATGCAGAAAAAGCTGCCTGGGTTAAGGGGTCAGTTGGCAATATGGTCGACACTATGATTTTGCAGGACGCTAAACAACACATTGAGGAGAGTCTTGTTCAAACTACCGACTCCACACAAATTCAGCAGGTGACTGTGATGATGCCAGATGGAACAAGTCATATTCTGCTTATACCGGCTTCTTCTGCAACACAGAGCAAGTCTCCACAGGGTTTCCGAGATGATTATCAGTCCTATGCCAGGAATGTTCTTGAGATTGGCCTTCTCTTCAAGAACCTCTCAGATGCCATCAAATGTCCAGACAGGAACCGCATGATGAGGATATTAAAATACACAATGATCATGTTAAAGGTCCAGAACAATCAGAGCAAATATGCACTGGAAATACTCAGATTTCTGTTTCATCAAATGGCTACACTGAGCAAACAGAGAGCTCATGAGGCTTTCTATGGGCTCTTTGTGAACACACAAATCAGCTGATATGCTGATGGAACACATAGTGAAGCAGACAAAGAGTCACATCAAAGCTGTTCACTCTAACAAAACTGAGAAAACACTGATAAAGAGAACTGCTTCATTTGCTGGCATTTCCACAATTTCTGAAATTTTGATGAACAAACTGGTGTCGTAATCAGAGCACAGAAGCACAAAATTCCTTCATCTGTTTAGGATGAAGAACTTTTGACAAAGAATCTTCGCAGGATCAAACCATTTCAGTGTCACCCTGGACGCCAAATCCAATCTGTATCAAGGTTGTCGAAGAGCCCTGTCTGCAACATGAAAAGGCAAAACTCATGACATGGATCAGAGAAATTCAACTTAACTACAGCCATGAGATTGGAAAGTAAATATGTGCAGTACCCTGAACATTGACTTTAAATGTTGAGATCCTTATGTAGATATATAACTGAGGAAACAAACATTTACTGAAGGTGTGATTTGAATGTTGAACTTGATATTTGAAAACATTTATCATCCAGTGCATTTCAGGCATGGATAGAGCAAAGCTGTTATGGTTTCTTGTTTAAAACAATTGTGATTACCTCAGGGCGTGGATATTCTTTTCACTTGCTTGATGATATTGTCCAGTGATTCAGCTATGTCCATATCAAAGTTGAAATTCTTCAGCAAAGGACATGTTTGTTGAGAGACATCTGGAGCACTGATTATTTGTTGGATTGCAGATGTTGGAAGCTTTTCTCTTAGATACTGTGTTCCATCCTTTACTATGTAGTCAGTTAGCGTGTTCAATAATAAGCTTTTTGGTATCTCTGGAGAAGGAAAACTGGTATCACAACATACTTCTGCAGATATATTTTTTTCATTACTGAAACTAAATGCTTCATTGACTTGCTGTCGTCTGCAAACAGATGTATTCTTGCATATTTCTTTCATGGTCTGAGAAACATGAGGCCGACCAATGTCTGAGTTGTTGTAGAACAGTATGGCCTCTGACTGTTGTCCGGATCTCCCAGCACGCCCAATCTGCTGTACATAATCTGGAAATGTATTTTAGAAATATACTTTTATTGAACATGCATAACAATAAAACAAATTATGTGAGGATGCCATGCACAATATTAAACTCATTTTCAATCTTATGTAGAGTATGTTTATTATTTCTCCAGAGCACTTATGTTAACAATGTGAAAATGCACTGTAAAGTGCACCATGAAATTTGTACACAACACTTTGATCAACGCTTTTGTGTGTCATCATACTTTCTTTGGTGGACCAATGTTAATCACCCTCCGGACATGTCGTAAGTCAGCTCCCATACCAAGAGCGATGGTTGCAAATACTATTGTCAGTGGACTGAAATTAAATTTCTCAACATACCTTATCCCCTGTTTTCTCCATTGGGGCATGGAACTGAACAACTCTGGTGTGCTTCAGTTCTAATCCTCCACTGTACATTTTATCTCCCAGCATTCTCTCTGCCAGCTCATATGACCGTCCCACCCAATCCTGACTGCCACTGAAGTACACAATGCTTAAGTGGAAACATCTGACCATTTACAAGGAGTTCTATCAACAGTGGCTCAATGACACATTCTATGTCATGTTGTACTGTTGATTCTGTTGGCCTTTACATGATTAGTGAGATGTTGTCTCTTGCTGAAGCCATGGATACGGATTCATAGTTCGTCATCCCTAGTTTTTTGGCCACCTCATTCTGTCCCTCAAGAGAGAGGGTTGCACTTAGAGCTAGAACCTTGGCATTTGGAAGTAAGGCACGAAGTGTGCCAAGTTTGGCAAAAACAGGCCTGAAATCCTGACCCCATTCCAAGACACAATGTTCCTCGTCTACAACAACAAATGTTTGTGGCCTCCTCTTGGAAATAATTATGTAGCAATAATATTTCTCTGACAGTATCATTTGCCAATTATTTGCTCAGGGGTGTGCAAACACAAACTGGTATTGCCCTTCAGTCCAACGTGTCTGCTCTGCACTCTTTGCAGTTAGTTCCCTATCATGCTCCTTGTTTAAACATGTTGCCCTTCTTCCCATTTCTCCTTTTGATTTGAGACAGAATAACATTCAGAGGAACAATGACAAATGCAGAGTTTCTCTAGCAGGTATTCAATGACATCTGGGTGAATTTCATAGCAGAGTGATTTTCCATATCCTGTGGGTAACATCGCAATGGTGTGGTTTTGTAAGAACCTTCTCTATGACCTCACGTTGAAGAATCCTCAGTTGATTGATTGCTGTACCTTGATTATGGATTTATACTTCATGAGGGCAAAGGCTATTGCATCATCCTGTGATAAAGAAAGTATAAACAAATGATGTATATATTTGTAGCAAATTACTTCAACCATTTCAATATGTCCTTTAAAATTGTTAGCATTGAATTTAACCCAAATATTTTTTACAAGCACTGTCAGCGTTCAACAAGACTACACTTTAATTAATTATACCGTCCAAATTTTTTACACCTATTTATGATAAAAGAGTTAACCATGTAATAAGACAATTAATGAAAATATATATTTCATTATATATTATATCTATACATATATCCTATGAATAATTTCCTGAGGTCTTAGGCGTTTCACTGACACTCCAATAACGTTATACATCATTATTTGACGAGTAGCGAGTGTGTTTCTTAATTTATTATAATGGGCGGTCAGTGTCATAGGCACTTGACTCTGATATGTTTTATAAGTATAACCTATATATATAAGATATAAGAAAGGTTTGTCAGTAAATCGAAACAAAATCTCAGGCTACAGACCCGCACCGAATAGTAGAGGCGAGTCTCTGATTGGATAATATAGTTGCACGTTAAAAGAGGTGGGAATAATAGAAGACGCTGTCAATCAGAGACTCGCTCTACTATTCGGTGCGGGTCTGTAGCCTGAGATTTGTTTACTTCCGGGCATATGTCCTGACTTCGTGCGAGAATGGACGGCAACATTATTGAAAGCTTTAAATGAGAATAAAATCACCAGGTTAGTGATACGCAAGGTACTTTACAGAGGTCAACTGAGCATAAATTGTGCAGTTTATTCAACCGTCAAAGCGATGGAAGCGTTTGTCAGACCGAAACCCACCCGAGCCGAGCTGGGCCGCCATTTTGTTTCGATTTACTGGACACACCTTTCTTATATCTTATATATATAGGTTATACTTATAAACATATCAAGTGCAAGTTCCTATGGTCAGTGTTTATGCTGAACCCAGCATACAACAAAGGGAAAACGTGGCAAAAACGGCGACATGAGCGTGCTGAAATTTTCTAAACTAAAGATTCTATCGATGTTTTATGGCTGTGGTCGTTCTCTTCGATGTCTTATGAACAGGATTTTTGTGTCCAAAGCGAGCTGACACGAAATATTAACGCAAATATTGCTGTTGAAAAGGGGTGCGTGTCATTGTTTACATTTTGTGGGTGTGACGACGATTTTCGTGTCTCGAATCAGCTTAAATACTGCTTTCCTCCACCCAAAAAATATATGGACTTTCTTCTCGAAACTCATACTTCGCAACTGTAGTAATGAAAATGCTATGAAAAAATTCTAACCACCCGTTCTAGCGTTTCCCCATGTTAACTTACCTTGTCCGCCATGTTGGTTTTTCCTTGTGTCCCGGCCTCCATGCGGTGGTGGTTGCCTGGGTCAGTGTCGGAGCGTAGCGCAGGCGCAACGGAACCAGGCTGGGGTCAGTGTCGGAGCGTAGCGCAGGCGCAACGGACCCAGGGAACCAGGCTGACTGAGCGGACTCTCGGTATGACGTCACACCCACAGACGGCAGACCGCTAAAAATAAAATATGCATACGAGTGGGCGGGGCTAAAGTGGTTTTAGTTTTGGTGAATATTTATAATTTTACGACGATTTTTTTTCGTAAATGGATGGTGCAGATGTGGTATATATTCATGTTTGAATGGCATTATGTAACAAAATGCTTAGTGTTTAACCTTTTAAAAGTCCTTTAACAAGATACTGTGCAGTAGGCCTTCAGATTGTGCTTTAGATGCTTAAAACATCCTAAAATGTGTGACAAATTTAAGAATATCTAAGAGCAGAAGGGAACAGTATCCGCCACATTGTTCTTTAATGTAACAAGTTTTCCTCTTTCGGTCGACCCCAGAACCGAAATCAGATCGCTCATCAGATTTGTTTACATTGTGTCACGGCTTTCTCGCCCGTCTCATTTGAGCTTTATGGCGTACCAGTACAATGCACAGTAGGGACTAAAACGTTAAGCAAAAAACTATTTTGTAGTTACAAGAATTGTCCGTGTTTATAACCCTTGCAAAGTCTTAAACTGCTATTTGTTGTCATCAATTGGTAATGATTTTGCACATGTGCAAAAGTGTGGAAATTCGTGCAAAATTTCATCTGCAGGCAGACGAAGGTTTCGTGAACGATTGGTGCAGACGACATTTAACTGATCGTTAGGCCTATCGCTCCTTGATCCGCCTCAATTCCTTTTTTTTCTTGACCATAATGGTTTTGGTAAAGGTACACATCAAATCGCAGCAATATGTAATAGATATAGCGAGTGTAAATGGCATAATTCGAAGCACATCGCTTCGGAGGCATCGTTTGACCCGGAAATAAGTCTGACAATCCACACAGCGCGCCCGGTCTGCTGATTGGCCAAAATTGACGCATGCGCCAGTTTTGATTGACAGACTGGATCGGTCACTACGAATTTGACTAAGTGCAAAGGATGTAAATGACATGTTCATGCATTATTGTTTACATAAAGAAATTAGTACACAATTCGAGATAGAGGTGTACTATTCCTTACATGTATGGATTATAAATTATATATTGGAAAGGAAATTTAAACTATGGTACTTATTGCATATATCCTGGAAATATATATTTTTAGCATTAATGTAACGGGGATAAGTTTAATAGTTGCTATGGATATTAGGAAGGGTTGGGCTGGCATTAGTAATTTAGCTGGGGGTATAAATCATACATTTTGGGGATATGAAACGGATTTTTTCTTACCGGTGTTTGCGGGGACATGCGGGTTACGGCTGTCGCAGGTTGTTTAGTTTAGCTTGCCATTTCGGCACAGCGATTGGTTGCACGCACTGGAAGGTTCCATTCAAAGGGTAGGGTGTGCTCCTCGCTTAGTGGGATAGGCCCGCTATTGCGTATATAAGGAGCCGCGCGACAGGTGTTTTATTGTCTGAGTTGGAACACCCGAGGATAGGTGAGCCCTTGTTTCGAGACAGAAACAGCTTCCCAGTTGCTTTGCGATAAAGTAGAATTTGCTCCGTGACGGACCAGTCCTTGTTTCGAGACGAAACAGTTGACCCCTCTCACGGCGAAGCACTTAGGAGGGTAGGCATAGGTATAGGTGGGTGGGGGGAATAAAGGTATTTAGTTTTAGGGATATATTTATATAGATATACAGGGTAATGGTTAGGAAGTGGGAAGGACGGGTGGTTTATAAACTAACTACCGCTGTTAAAGACAGCTGTAGTATGCTAGATTTATCTTAGGTCGGGATTAGGTGGGGATCGTGTTTGTTAATTTAATGTAGATTTTTTGTTGAAACTTCCCAGAACTATATTTTGTTATGTTTGGAGTTTGTGTTTTTGGGGAAAATAAAATGGTGATATAAATTTTGTCTTATGTCCTGAATCGCAAGGCTGCATCTCGTAACTGGGAAACAGCGTGGAGGAGAATTCTGCTCACGGATTTACGGATTTATACCTGGAGCATACCCTCTTGTGGTAAACATGCCAGTTGAAAGGGAAAAACACAACGCAAAGTATAATCACACATTGAACATGTAGTTTCCACAAGACAGAGCAAACCACGCCTGTTACATAGCATCACATCAAGTTTTTGTACTGCGGCAGCAAGATTTTCTCTTCTTCGTATGTTGGTAGAAATGTATGTTGTGTTATTACAGGTTCACCAATGTTGTATGCAGATGGCCAGGCGCAACGCATGATAGCTACATCTTTAATAATAATACAATTGGAAACCACTTGAAGAGTCTGGAGGGTAGAAATGGATGGTTGCTTGGAGATTCAGGGGTAAAATTTGATTATCATTTTGGAATAACATAGCTTAAAATGGGTGAAGTTTCATAAATAAAATATAATGTACTTGATAATTCCATTTTTACTAAGGTAAAGAATACATCCAGTATAATTTTGTGTTGTATATACTAACATTGTCTTCATATTTCTCTTATAAATCATTTGCGTGTATATCTACAAAATCTTTTCAGATATGCCTGCAGACCATGGATGGTCACCCCTGAGGCAACCTCAGACACAGTGGAGAGGAGAAGATTTAACCGATCGCTGTAAAATAAGGAATCACAGTGGGAAAGAGCTTTTGGCCTAATGAAGTCTCGGTTTCAGGTTAGTTCGATTATCATAATGAAAATAATATTTCCAGAATAAAGAAAGTAAATAATTAAAGAAATATATAATCTCCAAGATTATTTAACACTGCAGATTAAAATTTCATTTATCTCAAAGAGCTGAAGGCATAAAACTGTCATTTACTTAAAAGAATTAAACCATTTTGAAAAATGAAGTTTAAATTAAAGTAAGATAATATTGGAAAAATTATCCATATATTTATTGGGTCTGATAGAGTAAAGGGAGACTATCTTTTACAAATATATCGCCAAAAACCTATAAATTGAACTTCCAATAACTGAGGTATCGATAAATTGATATAGCTTCAACATAAATGTAGTAGGTTCTCTTTAATAATTAGATGCCTACACAAGTCAACGGGCTACCTGCCTTTCAAAGCCAGACAAAGTGTCATCGGCTCGTGTATGCTGTGTGCCAGCAACACAACCTGTGTATCAACCATCGCCTTCCTCCCATGCCAGCCCTACCTGCAGAAGATGGCAAGGACCAGTCATATGACGGTC